AAGCCCACAGGTTGGGCTTTTTTCCCCTCAGCAGAGAGCCCCCCCCTTCTCTTTCATTCTTAAATTGCTTTTCTGTCCTCCTTCCTCTCATTCCCATCCATCCATCATGTCACCAGTCCTGCCATGTCCTTCTTTCAGAACATTTTATAAGGTTTCCAAAACTGGAATTCAGTCCTTCCATGATCACTATTCACTGCGATGTAAAGATCCTAATGTATGAATTCTTGCTTTTCACAAGCACCCCAAAAGCCCAAATTCACCCAAATCATCCTATTTCATTCAAAATTAAACCAGATTCTTCAGCTGCTTGCAGGCATTCATCTCTTCACTTACAACATGATACCCCTTCAGTTCCCGGACATTGCAACCTCCATCTTTTTCTTGTTTCACAACAACATACTGTAACTTTGCTCATTAATACGCGCTAATTGTCATTTCCTCTTACACACTGAGATACAACCCTCCCTATGCCAAGGGCATCACCAGATGCTGGCCTCCACTGCTTCTCCCGGCTTTTGTCAAGTGTGGACTTTTTAGTAATAGGCAGAAGGGGCAGGCGAGCTGTGAGCCTCAGCTACATCCCTGCCACGTGCTGCATTTGGTGCAAATGGTGCGAATGAATGCCAGACCAGACCATTTTGCCCAGTGTGTTGCTCACCCTTCTCTGCAAGGCCTTCTAGAAACTACCTTGGCAGTCAACCGACAGTTGTCGAAATCCCACACATAAGCGCAGGGCCACGGCATAGTCAGAATATGACTGCCAAATCTAAAATTCAACAAAGAGAAGATGGAGGGGGTGGAGGAAGAGGAGGGAGGGGCTAGGAAAGGACGCCTACCCACAGCAGGATAATAGGGAGGGCAGAGCCAAGCAAATGAAGATTTAAAGAAGACTTCTAGGATAATTGAAGTAGGTCTCCAAGGGTTTTGACTCTCAAAAACTTAATAATTCCACTTACTTTTTAAAGACATCTATAGATCTTGTAGCATTTGCTTCGAGTGCTACACGAGTTCTGGCATGCATAAAATATGCAGATCTTTGTCAATATTTTCACATAAATCCAGTGATGGAGTCACACACGTTTGAGCAGGCTCAGTTAACTCTTCCTTTTGGTCAGTCCTGGCTAAAAGGATCTGATCCGAGAGTCTGCAGCAGGGCGTGGAGCCCAGGCGAGCTGCCAAAAGCCAAAGAATATTTGGACTCTGAGAGGAGCTTCCAGGCCAGAGATGTTCACTGCCTTCCTGGAAGCCAATTAGCTTTGAAGAAGCCCCACACCGGCAGCATTTAGCAGGGATCTCCCCCCCCACACACACACACACACCTCTGTTGGGATTAGGAGAGTCCTCAGTCAGTCAGGACGGATCTTGGACAGATCAGCAGCAGGACAGACCAAAGGTTCTTACAGCCCAGCCATTATTTACTTATTTATGACATTTTAATCAGGGCAGCAGCCGGTTTCCAGCACAGCGGGGATGGGGAGGGGGGCATGAAAATAGCTGCCCTCCTGGCTTAATCCCCAGCAGGAAGAGAAAATTTTCTGACAGGCGAAGCTTCTTTGCTCCTGAAGGCTCAGTTCTGAGAGCACAACATTTTTCAGCTGTGCGGCTGCACTTATACAAATACTATTGTCATTATTACTACTTCCAGCCAGAGAAGTGCAGGGAATGCAGCATCAGAGTTGGCACGGGAAAGTGCTCCCCACAGGCATTGGGCATTAAATGTTCAAGCTTAACTGAACAGGAAAAAAGGCAGAGGTGGCGCTATTAAAATTTAGCATTTTGCTCCAAATTTCAATGTTGTGACCCACAACATAAGTGACTCACCCCGCCCCTGCTCCCCAACCTTTAAGGAAGTTCAAAGGAATGTGCTTCTACATTCTACATTCTACAACCTGCCTCCAGAAGCGGTGAATGCTCCAACACTGGAAGTTTTTAAGAAGAGAGTGGACAGCCATTTGTCTGAAATGCTATAGGATTTCCTGCCTAAGCAGGGGGTTAGAGTAGATAACCTCCAAGGTCCCTTCCAACTTTATTATTATTATTATTATTATATACACACAATCACAACAAACCATCACAACTGTGGCCACTCGCTCCCCATCTGGGGCCAGGGAAATGACACTCACGCAAAGGCTTCCATGTGTGCCAGCAACGACATGGCTGCCCATGACCGTGAAGGCCGTCGCTCACTGCGGGCATCAGGCAAGGGACGAGAGCAAAGTGTTGACTTAGTTGCACAAAAAGTGCAGAGGCTGCTCTCAGACATAGACACACACACGTATACAGACACACACAGACACCAGCCAACTGCCATAGCTGAAAAGGGAGGAGGGCAGCCTGGGAAATGAGGCAGAAGCTTCCCAAACAAGTAACAGTCAGCTTTGGGGGAGAAGGAAGGGGCCAGGACATCTTGGGACCCCCAGCTGGTCCCAAAGCAGGCAGTTCTTCCACTGGCCCGGCTCTCCTCTCACAGATTTATGCCCTTTTTCTGGAGAACTCCTGCAGCCCCACCACCCACCCGGCACTTTTATAGTTTCAGGAAACCTCGTGGGCAGCAGGGTTGCGCTCTGCAGCCCTTCTGAAGAAAAAGTAGACACAACTCTGAAAGCGGCAAGGAACCGGATGCCCCTTTTGGAAGCTGTAGGGCCAATGCCCACGTCCGGAGGGGTCCACGGATGCCCCTTTGCCAAGACGGAGGGAGGGAGGGAGGGGCAGGGGGAGGAGCCAGCCGGATGTCACCATTTTGGTGGCTGAGAACACAGCAGCTCTGCCAGACTGGATGGGCCAGAAGTTGAGTCCTGTCAGTGAACTGAGTGGCAATCCTGGGCTTGAGGGCCCCCCCCCCGAGGCTGCAGGGCATCCATCCCCAGGTTGAAGAAGGGGAGAGGGACCGGTCTAAACACCAATCACCATTTCTTTGTCTTCCGCATTTTTAATTTCTAGGGAAATTCTAGGAAATTAAAAGTGGCTATAAACCTTTATCAGCCTTATAAAGTTAATGCTTAATATTTCATCATGGAGTGCAGGGTGGGTTATCTACAGCTGACGGCCTTGGGAGTGTCCTTCTCCACCACCCCCACCCCTCCCCCCTTTCTTTAAAATATGAATCCCTCTTAGATTGAGGGCCGGGAGGGAAGATTGCCACATTCACTGGGCAGAGCAGGAGGCTGACCATGGACGGCGACCACGAAGAAGAGCAGCAAAGAGGCCCGAGGCTCCTTTGACTTCCATGCAGCAATTCCATCGTGCCAGGGCTGCCACCCCCCTCAGGCAATTCTGCACCCACCTTCGACTCTAAGGCAGCCAGGCAGTTGTTCATCGGCAAGGCTCACTTAACAGCTCAAATATTACAACACCACACAAACCAGGCAGACTCCATCAGCTGCTGCCAAGGGCTCCCTCACCATCCCTGCCTCCCTGGGTAGCTCTCAGGGTGACTCCCATCCTCTACCTGCTCCCCCCTCCCAACTTCTTTCAGATGATGGGCTGCTTTTTGTTTAGTCCCTCCTCTGCTTGGACCGCCTAGCCCAGAATGCGAGTTCTGCTTTCAGACAGTCTCTCCCCATCTTTTCTCCATCAAGGCTTGGCTGGTTCTAGGAACGCAGAGGAGAAAGGCTGACCACCTCAATACTGAACCCTAATCTAGTTTTCAGTTTTTTACTTTCCTGAATTAGCCCTCCTACGTTTCCCTTATTTTCTGTGCACAAGAGATACAAATGGAGGTCTTTAACCCAGCAAACACATGGGGAAAGCAACGGTGCCAACACACGGATACATGGACTCCCTGAGACCAAATGCTGAGTCAGCAGCACCCCACTTTGACGCTGCATGTCCCTGAACGTGCCTTCCTAGGCAAGAAGCCTCTGCCCGTCCAAGAAGGGCCAGTTCTTCCCAAAAAGCAGGACTCCCCCCTCAGGACAGAGTGACCACTCCCTGCCTTCCTTTCTGCCAGGCTGAAGGTGCTTTCCAGCAAATTAAATTCCCTTCAGAAGCAAAGTGAATGAATGGGTGGCAGAATTTATCTGCACATCACACAGACACACTTTTAAATGACCTTCACTTCCTCCTTCCCTGTCCACAGTCCAGGGCACCAATGCAAGCTGGGGAGCTCTGCAGCTGCTCCTAGACCCAAAGCACACACACACACACACACACACACACACACCCTGCACCCTCAGAATCTCCTCTGGGAGGATGCAGGGCTTTCCCCATCATATCCTCCCTTGCAAGAAATAAGTCTCCATTAGAAAATTCGCTCCACAAAACTTTGTGAGGTTCAGATTTGTGCTCTCAGGAGCAGCGCACCCCCCCCTCCCTCCCACCGGTATTTCTCCTCCCAGCCAGGCCTACACGGACCATCCCCTGCCTGGAAAGCAGCCCCCCCCCTCCGTGGAGTCTCACTCTGTGAAACAGTCCCGGGTGGAAAGCCCCACGGGCTGCAACTCCTCCCGGGGCTCGAGGGCCTGAAGGCAACACCTCCCTCGTCAAAGGCCCCCCAACCTGTTCCCCCAACAGGAGATGCAAGCCCCCCCCCGCAGCCCTGAGCCAGAAGCCTGGCGTGAAGGGAGGCTTCAGCAACCGGCCGTTCTCCGGGGCGGCCCCGCCGCAAAGCCCCACGGACAGCCTGCCTAGGCAGCGAGCCGCCCAGCCGCTTGCGGCCGGTAGACCCCGGCCCTGCGCAGAGAGCGCGGACGGCAGACGACGAAGCCAGCTCGCTAAAAGTCCCGACCAAGGAAGGGGCCACCGGCATCGCGCATCACCGATCCCCGCGAGAGGAAGCCGGCAGGGCGCCCTCCGGGGACTCTCGGGACGCGCTTCCCGGACCCCGCGCGGGAGGTGAGGCGCCGCGGGAGCTCCCGGGAGCCCCTCCGGGATAGAGGTCGGGGTCCTCCCCGCCGCCCCTCTCGCTCGACCGGCGCCGGCCCTCGAGAGGCTCTGCGGGCGGGCGGCCGCGCCTCGAGGTGGGGGCGGCGGGCAGAGGCGCCGCCCGGAGCGCGACCTACCTGCGACATTTGCGGACGGAAGTTGATGTCCTTGAGGTCGACGGAGCCGGGCGAGAGGTTGTGCAGCAGCTGGCAGAGCAGCACGCCGTCCCGCAGCGCCTGCGCCAGCTCGAAGACCACGGCCGAGGGCCAGACCACGCGGTGGTTGGCGGGCAGCACCTTGCAGTCGATCAGCCAGCGCCCGCACTGTCGCCACTCCGCCATGGCGCCCGGGGGCCGCGCGGCCGCGCGCGGGGGGCTGCCTACGCGGACGGGCACCGCCATCCGCGCCCGGGGGCCTCCGCCATGGACGGCGAGGAGGAGGAGGAGCCGCGCCGCCTCGGGGGCTGCCTGCCGGCCCGCGCCGAAACTCACTGCGGAGGGCGCCGCTGGAGGACGGCGGAGCGGGGCAGGGCGCCCCGCCGCCGCTTCATGCCCGCCGGCCGCCCCCGGCCCGCCTGTCCGCCCGCGCCGCCTGCTCCCGGGCTGCCCGACCGGCGAACAAAGAGCCCCGCCGGGCCGCGACCGCTCCAAGGCGCCGGGCCGGGCCTGAGCTCTTTTGTGGAGAGGCGGCGCGGCGGGTCCCCTCCCGCCCCTTCCCTCTCCGCCCCTTCCCCGCCCCTGCGAGCCGGCCGTGGGCGGGGAGGGCGAGGGACGGGGTCGGCTCCTCCCTGGCTCCGGAGCGCGCGCCTTTCCCCGGGCGACGAGCGGCGAGCTGAACCGGGCTCCCGCGACGCCGCGGACTCCCCGCCAGCGCCGACCTGAGAGCTGCCGGCAGGCTCCGGCCCGGCGAGGGGAAGCGGAGGGGCCGGCCGGGGAAGCCTCCAGAAGAGCCTTTGGTGGGGCGCGAAGGAGCCCGAGGTAGCGGCTGGGTTTCGGCCTAGCCCTGGGGACGAGCCCACCTCCGTCTCGGCCGAGGAGGGCGCCCCGTTTGCACCTCTCCTCTTGGGGCTGTGGAGCCCGAAGACGAGGGCCGCCCTTGGGGGCCGCCTGTCCCCGCACGGCGCCTGGAAGGGGAGGCCGCGCGGGGTGGAGCTGCTGTGCCCGCCGCCTCTTTAACCGGCGTCTCGGCGGCTTTTTTTGCGAAGCAGCTCCGAGTTTCTTGGGACTTCGATAGTGGCAGTTGGGGGGGGGGGTGTTAGGGATTCATGGAGCAGAAGAGGGCAGGACGAAACGAAATAACGGTGGGAAACAAGGAAAGCGACGCGCATCTCCTGTCGGGACGCCCTTCAGACGCGCCCAGAAAAGTTTGGGTTGAGGAGGCCGGTCCGCGACGACTGCCTCTGCATCGCTCTCGCCCCCACATGCAGGTGCGAGATGGGCGGGGCATGGTTTACGATACCACGCCCACTGCATGCAAATACTGATTTCCCCCCCCCCACCCTTTATAAGCAACTTCTTCAGTAGCTGCAAGTGAAAGAACAAGGGAGCTATTGCAGTTTTCATCGGAAGCCAATTCAGAATTCTAATGCGAGACAGCGCCGCAGTACATAAAAGCGTTATTTATTTATATCCCACTTTTATAATTTTACAAATAAGGGGCAAACATATTCAACACACCTTTCTCCTCATATTTTCCCTATAATACATCTGGGAGGTGGGCTGGGCTGGGGGGGGGATGAAGAAAGAGGAGGGGGACCGGCCTAAAGTCTCCCAGCTGGCTTTCTTGGCCAAGGGAGCACCTGAACTTTTAGTCTCTCGCTTTTAGCCATTAAAACAGTCTAATGGAAAACAACAGAATAGGGAGGACCAGAGATCTCTTCAAGAAAATTGGAGATTTGAAGGGAACGTTTCATGCAAAGATGGGCATGATAAAGGACCAAAATGGCAGGGACCTAACACAGGCAGAAGAGATTAAGAAGAGATGGCAAAACTACACAGAAGAACTATACAAGAATGAGCTTAACGTCCAAGATAACCACAATGAGATGACCTCACTGACCTCGAACCAGACATCCTAGAATGTGAAGTGAAATGGGCCTTAGAAAATCTGAGCAACAACAAAGCTAGTGGAGGTGATAGTATTCCAGCTGAGCTATTCAAAATCTTAAAAGACGATGCAGTAAAAGTGCTACACTCAGTTTGCCAGCAAATTTGGAAAACTCAACAGTGGCCACAGGATTGGAAAAGGTCAGTTTACATTCCAATTCCAAAGAAAGGCAATGTCAAAGAATGTTCAAACTATCGCACCATTGCACTCATTTCACATGCTAGTAAAGTTATGCTTAAAATCCTACAAGCTAGACTCCAGCAGTATGTGGATCGAGAACTACCAGAAGTACAGGCAGGATTTCGAAGAGGCAGAGGAACTAGAGATCAAATTGCCAACATACGCTGGATCATGGAGAAAGCTAGGGAGTTCCAGAAAAACATCTACTTCTGCTACATTGACTATGCAAAAGCCTTTGATTGTGTGGATCACAACAAATTGTGGCAAGTTCTTAAAGAGATGGGAGTACCAGACCATCTCATTTGTCTCTTGAGAAACCTATATGTGGGTCAAGAAGCAACAGTGAGAACTGGACACGGAACCACTGATTGGTTCAAAATTGGAAAAGGAGTCCGGCAAGGCTGTATACTGTCGCCCTGCCTATTTAACTTATATGCAGAGCACATCATGAGAAAGGCAGGGCTAGATGAATCAAAAGTTGGAATTAAGATTGCCGGGAGAAATATCAACAACCTAAGATATGCAGATGATACCACTCTAATGGCAGAAAGTGAAGAGGAACTAAAGAGCCTCTTGATGCGGGTGAAGAAGGAGAGTGAAAAAGTTGGCTTGAAACTCAACATTAAGAAAACCAAAATCATGGCATCCGGCCCTCTCAATTCCTGGCAAATAGATGGGGAAGAAATGGAGGTAGTGACAGATTTTATTTTTCTGGGCTCCAAGATCACCTCAGATGGGGACTGCAGCCAAGAAATTAAAAGACGCTTGCTCCTGGGGAGGAAAGCTATGGCAAATCTAGACAGCGTACTAAAAAGCAGAGACATCACCCTGCCAACAAAAGTGCGCATAGTCCAGGCCATGGTTTTCCCCGTTGCAATGTATGGCTGTGAAAGTTGGACCATAAGAAAGGCTGAGCGCCAAAGAATGGAGGCCTTTGAACTATGGTGCTGGAGAAGACTCCTGCGAGTCCCTTGGACTGCAAGGCGTTCAAACCGGTCAGTCCTAGAAGAGATCAACCCCGACTGCTCTTTAGAAGGCCAGATCCTGAAGTTGAAACTCAAGTACTTTGGCCACCTAATGAGAAGGAAGGACTCACTGGAGAAGGGCCTAATGCTGGGAAAGATTGAGGGCAAGAGAAGAACGGGACGACAGAGAATGAGATGGCTGGATGGAGTCACTGAAGCAGTAGGTGTGAACTTAAATGGACTCCAGAAGATGGTAGAGGACAGGAAGACCTGGAGGAACATTGTCCATGGGGTCGCGATGGGTTGGACACGACTTCGCAATTAACAACAACAACAACAATGGAAAACCAACCCAAAAGGTCTGGAAGGGGAATCCCCCTTTCAATGTGGGTGCCAGAAGTCGAGGAAGAGGAGAGTTTCAAGAGGAGCCCAGCTTACCACACGAGTCACTGCCCAGAGATTCACAGGTTCATAAGTGCCAAGGCGAGATGTGGCTTAGATGCTGTGCTAGAAGCAAGCGCTGCGTCTGGCTTGGTGGTTCATCCGCTGCCTGGCAGTCCCTTCCACAAGATGTGACCTGGTCAGAGCCAAGAGGCCCTCTCGGCATGTGACACCCCTCCTGCAGCAGGGCGAGGGCAGCTCCGGACAGACTGGCACCATTCCTGAAGAACTGGGATTGTGGCTTCAACTATAAAACACCACGGCTTGATGCAATATGATCTTTGTCTGCAGTCTCCACCCTGCCTCTAAAGAGTTCTGGATTACTGGCTTGGGGTACTATGGTTGGTCCTAATAAAGACACAACTGGTTTGTGAAAGTTCATATCTTCATTCTTTTAACATACTCTGCTTTGTTTCTACATACTCATCTGTGCAGACATTTTTCAAATATTGTACAGTCTCAAATCTGCTTCCTCCTACTGGTGGCATGTAGTAGTTGCAACTCATCTCTTGGAAGATTTTAAGCCTGGTGCCCATTAATGACTTCTTAGCCTTTTTGAATAAATCGCCCCCTTGAGCCAATGAGGAAATTGTCATCACCCCCTCCCCCAACATAACCTCTCAATCATAGGAAATAATTCTTCAATTTATGCAAACACTTTTTTTGTTTTTTGTTTTTAAATTGTCATCAGGACATACCGATGCAAATAATTTATTTCCAGACTTTTCCCCATATATCCCATATTCTGGCCAATGACGTGCCACTGTATGGGTAGAGGCTGCTGCACAACGCACATGAAGATAAGCGATGGCGTATTCACATATGTACGCCGTTCTGTACTGAAGCTAGGTGGAGGAACATTTGAAAACAATTCAATCCACTAATAGCGAGTGATCTGATGTTTTTGTAAGACAGATATACAGCCATTCACTGTACGAAAAAGTCTCAAAAGTGTCCCCAAAACATCTCGCTCCATCGCCTCCATATCGCCCTGTTTTTGTTCCTTCGCCCTCCTGACACCCCTTTTTGTTCCATTGCCCCCTGAAAAATGAAATCGCCCCCTGGGGGGCAATATCGCCCAGGTTAAGAACCACTGCATTAGAGCTGCTTCCTCTGCAGCTCACCTTCTGGGAGGGGAAATGCTGTCATCTCTTTAGGCACTGTACATTCCCTGTGCCATTCGGATGGATCAGCAATGAACGGGTCACTCAACACGGAGTGAAACCTTCAATCCTGGTTCACAAAATAAAATTGCTGGTTTACTTTTGGAGGAGGTCTTTACAGCCTTTGCTGCCTGTCCACCCAAAAACTGCTGATTTGATATAACATACTGCTCCCAGATAAAACCTTATTACAATTTAACCAGTTGGTCTGGTTGACGTAACATATTAAGGGTCTGGTTGAATTCCCATAACGCATGGAGAAGCTTCCAGGGAGGAATGGCAGACGGATATCCCACAGGGAGTGGAAGACATTTCAGCTGAAAATAGCAGCTGGAGGCTTGATCCAGGCTACCAAAATCCCTGGGAAAAAGAGACATCTTGAGTTCACCCATGCATACTCCGGACAGATATTTTTGTGTGAGTAGACAGCAGAAACTGGTGCTTTTGTGGTCTTTTGCAAACGGCTGAGAGTTGCAAGATTCTACCAAGCTCAATGCCACTAATGTAGTCTTTTTATGGACTTATGGTTTAACCATACTTCGCTATTAAATCACTTTGAAGCTTACTTTTTTTCTTAGTTCTTTTTAAAAATTGAGAACTTTTAGAACTTTACATCGTCATATTTGTTGGGTGAGGTCTTTTTGAATTAATTTTTTTTTAAAAAAATACAAATTTAAGATTTTGCAAAGGTTAATTATAGTGCTGATTTTATAACGTTTTAAATTCATTAAGCTGCCCGGAATTGCTGTGGATAGCAAGATGGGCAGCATATAAATTTAATTTAAAAAAATTAAGGGTTCAGATAGACTTGAATTAGAACTCTGAAATTGGCTATAAGAAA